ACAGAGGGCAAACACCCAGGGCACACGCTCCATTAAGAGCAGATGATGCAGCCCAGAATTCTTGATCGTAATCAGGCTGGGATGACAAGAGTACACAGACTTGTGTTTTTAATGATTCTAAGGCTTGTTGATTTATCCAAAGGTTGCAAGTTCCCCAATAGCTTTGGCTTTGATTGGGATGCCAGGCTGAAAACATCTGTGATAATATTGGAAAATCTCAGGCTCAGTTCTGTGAAGCATAACTGCAGTGACCGAATAGGTGTTCACCCTGCTTCAGCCTCATAGGATGTCAAGATATATGTTCACTTACTACAATAATACCTTAAAATCATAAAGGCAATCAGCTCATCTCAAGTAGGAGTGATCAGTTTAATCATCTGAAATGATTGGCTGTTAACAGAATAAAGTGGTCTTACTATAGAAATTTTAGACTGGGAATAATTTTTAAGCAGCTGGAGTTAAATTACAAAAATGAAATTACTAATTATTTTTGTTAGGTGAGCTGGATTGGACTGTGGGATCTGAGGAGGTGAGCTAAGTTTTCTGAGCGTTTCCCTGCTGACTGCAGAATCATCTGCTGAGCCAGAGGCATCCTGTGGCAGCAGGAGTGCCTGGTGGCAGAGCTGATGCTGAGGCCCAGTATTGTTGCTTAGCAACTTCACAGGGATAGCTCTGACAATTAGCTCTCTTGTGTGCTGGGTGTGTGCTGGGAACAGGGAAAAACACAGCAATCAGCTCTCCAGAAGAGACCCCAGGAAAGCTGTGTGTGCCCATCTGCAGCAGGACTCCAGCCAAAGAAGCCCTTGTGCCGTAGCTGTTTCTTAGGCAGCAGCTTTTTTGGATGCCCTCATTCTTTACACACAAAATAAAGCATAATTCCAAGAGAATTAATGAATACCAAAACCTACACACCTGTTAGAGAACAAGAATACCTGCATGGGCATTGCTTCAAAAAATGACTGTTTCCATTTGTGTTCACACTTGAATTTGAAATTACTTTCAAGTGTGGAAAACCCTCATTTAACCTGAGCCATTGGCCCAACCACAGAACCATTTCATATTGCCCACCACATATTAATTTTGCTCTTCATCTGAAACCACACTAAGCTGAGTCAAGGTGTCTCAAGACACTGATAAAGAATGAAGAAAACAATGAGTTCTCATCTTCAGGATGGTACAAGGTTGCTCTAGAGCTGAGCCACAGTCATAGTCCTCTTCCTGGCTTCCCCCTCTCCCTTTTCAGGGAAAACCACCTGTGTGTCCCAGTCTGTTAAAAAAGACCCCAAAACAGTCACTGATCTTCTATAAGCAAGAAAACCAGCATTTCCAGTGTGCTTTGCAATATGGTCTCTTAAGGATGCTGAAAGACAACATTTTTCAGGAAAATTGTAGCAAAGGGAAACTTGCAAGCAAATTTACATATTTTTAGTTTTAGGAAGAAAAATCTCTGAAGGACAACCTTTCTTCCTGCAATAATTAAAAGAAGCTACAGTTCCCTTCCAATCAGGATGCAACAGTTTTAATACACTTTACACATGAACTATTATAATACCGTTTACACGTTAACCTGAAAAAAACCCAACCAGCTTGTTTTGTAGCAGTCAAAAATAGTTTTTCTGCAATTCAAAATTCAGTCATTTACAATGTTACAGAGCTCTTCTCTTCTGACTTTCCAATCAGCTCTTGCACAGGGATGATGCCTTATTATTGCAACTGCTTCTTTTATCTGTTGAGTCATGTCATTAGAAAAATGATTTCTTGGTGGGAAAATTGCCCTAATGACAATGAATATAATTTTGAAAATTATTTCATTGTATGAAGGATTTGACACAGTTTATACACTGACTGATTTTTAACATGGCAGTGATTTATGATCTACCAAAGAAAACACCCAGCAAATGAAAATGCTCTGTGAAGCCTGTGCATTTACATAATGAGTTTACATTTAATGAATATGCATAAGCAGAGCCTGTTTCACAGGCTGAGCTGTGCCCACATATGTCAGCTGTCATGGCACTCCAGACACGCCATTTCCATGTCATCTATCCAGGGGTTCCACGGCTCCCTGGCCACAGACACTCCTGGAAAACAGCACAAAGCAGTGCTGGCCAGCACCCCAGGACGTCCTTTTACTTTGGGGTTGAGCAAGTACAGCAGCACCACTGCTGTCTTTATCATCATGTATAGGCAGAGAGAGAGAGGGAGAGAGGAGGAAACATGCAGCCCTAAACTACAGTTGATCTGATTATTGGTATGAGGAAAGAACAATCTGACAGAGCACCTATGAGAGGTGAGGTATAAGCTGGAAATATCCTGCCTGTCTGGAGATTTCCAGTACCAGCACCAGGGTGAGAGAATTCCCACAGCCTTCATTTCCTGACTTCTGTACTGGTAATTTCCTTGGTAAACAAAACTGGAATTTTCTTCATCATCTTTGACAGCAAGATTTTGTCCACTATCAGAAATACACTGGCCAAAAATGTGCAATCTCTCTTGTGGAATTTTCAGCTATTGAGGAAGTATTGAGTGCCAAGAAGAAGATCCCTCTGTGAATGCACTCAGAATATTCACTTTCAGTTTCCAGGCTGTGGCATCAAAGACCCAAACTCCCACGAGTGTTGGGCTGCAGATATTAGACCCAAGCTATGTTGAACAAGGTTGATTCTGAAGTTAGTTTTTCAAGCTGTTATTAATGTTCTTGTTTTCTAAAGTATTACTTGAAACAGATATGAAAACCTATGTCAATGCCACATATATATCCTCCCACTCACACACTGTCTATGTTGTCTGGCTGAAAATTGAGTTAATTCCCAAGCTGAAGGCTGAAGGGAGTTCATAAAACTTTCAACAAAACTAGGCTGGACTTTAGGAGCATCAAGCCACGTTACAGCTTGGGAATGAGATGAGGGCAAGCCCAGTTTCACTGGAAATGCTGTACATTCTTCTGTGTCTTGCTTCAAATTTATTAATTTCTTCAACTTCTACATTAAATATAAGGTGAGAACTTTTTTGAATTCAGTAGAAGAGCAACACACCCATGAGATAATCCCAAGTTCCTCATAGCCCAATGGACACTCGGGATCCAACTGAGATTTTATCTCAGGCTGTTGATGCAATAAAAATACTCAAGATATCTTTAAAAGTGTTCTTCAACTCTGCTGGCCAGAGTAGGAGGTGTGGTAATTGAGTTGTTACTAAGATGGAAAACTGGAGACCTCTTCTCAAGCATTGATGGAATAAGGAGCTGAAAACCTGTTTTCTTTAAATGTATTTGGTGGAAGGGAGAAAAAGTGTGTTTTTCAGGGATAATACAACACAACATGGAATTGCAGGAAAGAAACCCAGGCACATGCCATTTAAAATCTCTTGTGAAATGAGTGTTTCAGTCACTCTGAGATCGTAGAGCAGACCAGGCAGGAGGGAGATGCACCACCACAAAACCTAACAAAGGATCACGCTAAGGGAAAGAGTAAACTCTTTTTCTAGGTTTCTCAAACAGTAAAAATACTCAGGACTGCAGTTAGAAGACGTGCAAAATATTTACTCTCCCAGCAAATAATGCCCTTTGGGTGTGAAATGCAGTGCATTAGTAAGAGAAGGAAGAGCTCCTACTGTCTCTGCTTGTGCATAATGTCACTCCTCCATGAAAGAGTTGGTTTGCACAGCCATCAGTTTGGCAGGGTTCTCACACAGAAAACCCTGCTGTAGTGCCTGCGGGAGAGAATCTTTTTTATTGCTTTCAATAGCTACCAGGCCCAATTCCTGCAAAATAAACCCAGGAATCAATAGAGTCAGAGTGAAGCAGCTTTCACCTCTGACTGCACCTTACTGTGTGTCAGGGGCTCTCAGACTGTGGTGTACAATCCATTTCCAAGTGCTGTGCCTGTTTGATGCTGCAGCTGTGGTAGATGCAATTGAACCCCAGTTCATTTAACAGCACAAAGTGAAAAGCATGAAGTGCTCAGGCAGCTTGGTGAGGCTGCACATTCCTGCAAGAGGTGTCCTGGAAACAGCAAGGTGTGCTGTGAATCAGGGCTGGAGTGGCTCTCAGCTCCATGTTATGCCCAAACACTGACCTCAGGGTGAAAAGCTTTCCTCTGCTCATCTTGTACAGCTGCTGCCACTGCTGGCAGTGGTACCTGTCACTTCCAGGGATGACAAAATCCAGTAAAAGAAAGTTTGGTCAGGATTACTTTTGACCATAGATACAAAATGGAGGCAGCTGGGAAGAGTGGAAAATTAATGGCAAGTCTTAATGAATTCCCACTAAGCAGCCTTCATCTCATACATCACACATTAATGCAGTGTTAAAAATTTTATTTCTTTAAGTCAGTAATAGAAAAATTAAATTACGCATTATTAATAAAGTAGCTTGCAGAGAGGTTTCCAAAAAAGGTGAACAGTTTCCAGAGGAGATATGAAGAAGTTGAGATGGCAATGCTAAATAAGGAGGAAAGTATTTAGGACCATTTCAAAAGTCTGCTTCTGGATACTCAGGATTTATTGCTGGGATGGCAGCTGTCAAAGCTGGTGAGAGAATAAAACTGGGGATAAAGTTGGCTTTGCTGTGCAGAAATGGTCAGTGATCACCCCCAGTGTGTGTTGGACAGAGACATGGCTTATCTGGTAGCTTTTAAGAGAAAGAGCATTCTCTGGGATTCATCAATGTAAAGTTAATTCAACCTCATAAAAACCACACAAAGCACAAGTTGCTATTACAGTAATGGAGACTGAAATAGTTCCACCAGCACAAAACTGCTAAAACAGCTCTAAACCTCTGGTCACATTATCCAAACCAAATCCAAAGAAATTTATGTTACTGCACATCACCTGGGCACCATGATAATTCACAGCCCTTTTTTACCTGTGCTGAGAGCCTTATTTCTTTAAGCTGATTTTCCTTCTTGGATGGATTAAAAAGTTCACAAACGCAGATGCAAATAGGAGCTTGCAAAGCTGTGGTAAGTGCAATTCATAAAGCAATATCCCACTTTTCTTACCTGTCAGGGCTGGGGTGAGGTGCCAATGGTGCCAAAGAAAGAAGATTGCTTTTGCAGCTCTTCTGGGGTAGGGCCTTGCAGTGAGGTATACACCAAGTCAAACAAAGTCAAACCTCCTGCTTTACTGCAGTAATAAACAATTGCTGAATTAAAACAGAAAAGAGCATTTAGCCAGGACCTTGAGAAAGATTATTTTAATATGGAACAGAGTACTGTTAAAACAATTAAATAACTTGTAAAACACCCCAAAATTCAGCAGGATTTCAGCATCTGCAGCTTGGCAAATCTATCAATACTACTTTTTTTGCCATGCCTAAATACTCCTTCCCCCTCCTTAGAACTGTGTCCGCTTTGCCTACCACAGAAAAGTTTATTCTGGATTGCTGGTGCCCAAGTCCCTTCACACCCTGCCACACACACTGAACTCTGCTCCAGCTCAGAGGTAGCTTTTCCTAGGCAGGAATGGAGGAGAAGAATAGAAGTGTGTGGCAGAGGTTTGGGAGAAAAGGGAAGCTTCTCTGTAAATCATGACATTATAAAAATTATTATTATCATGACAGTATAAAAATTATTTCAAAGTGCCAAACCCAGAATCCAACTCACCGAGTGTCAAAATTCTGAAAAAAGGCATTATACAGTCTGAATGCAACAAAAATACACCTTGATTTTGTGCTAGAAAGGCCTTAACTTGCATATTAGTCTTAGAAGCTTCTGATACTGAACTGGATTTCCTTTAGTCTATGGGACACACATGATCTCATATGAGCTACATAATGGAAAATATTTGTGAATATTTTTCAGTATATATTGTGTGAAACTTCAAAATTTTCCCCCTAATTATTGCGTATTTGGGTGAGATAACAAGACATAACATCAGGATCTGCATATAGGGCATTCATTCCAAGTCTTTACATATTCCCAAATATAGGAGCCAGAAATTATGCTCTCCTTCCTTCCTTCCTTCCTTCCTTCCTTCCTTCCTTCCTTCCTTCCTTCCTTCCTTCCTTCCTNTCCTTCCTTCCTTCCTTCCTTCCTTCCTTCCTTCCTTCCTTCCTTCCTTCCTCTCCTTCCTCTCCTTCCTTCCTCTCCTTCCTCTATTTGTAGCAGAGGCATCTTGCTGAGGGTTAATTAAAAATCCAACCTAGGTAAATCAGATATTTCCAAAGAGGTGACAAGAGAGGGGATCTCCCCGCACGTGGATTTGGTACCCATGTTCAATTCATACAGACACAGCTTCTACAGGTGATCTGAGATTACCAGCATCCTTCTAATTAAATTTCAAAAGCTTTGAAAGGCTACTGCTGCTTAAAAGATTCCTTTCCAAACCCTGCATGTTTGCTCTACTTAACTGTCTCCTCTATCATACATTTTTAGCAAATTACACTACTAATGATGGGATTAATATTAAGCCATTTCACTATAAATGGGTTGGATGTTCTGCTACTATCTTGAATTAATGCATTTGGCAAGCACATCTCTGCCCTTGTCCTGCTTTTCAAAAGGAATTTAGAATGACAGAAATAAAATATCTTCAAGGTAAACCTGTCAGGTAGGCCTGGATGCCTTTTATAAGAAGGGAAACTAAGCACAATTTCCTGAAAATACATGAATTGGACAAAGCTACAGGGGTTTTCTGTTTTCTTGCTTTCCCCCCTCTTTCCAGTAACTTCAGCAGTTGCTTTAATTCTCAGAGCTCAGTAAAAGGGCAAAGTCTCACACATTTTGGGCTTATCAAATCCAGTGAGTTTGATTTTTGAAGGTATTGGCTGTTGGCCACTGCTCCAGTTGTGACCTGGTGACACTTCTGGATGTGTTCCCACTGCTCAGCCTGCCACTACACATGCAGCAGAATTCCATCTGAACCAAATTAGTGTGAACCAAATTCCTGTTTTGCTTTCTGTAAAGCGGTTAGGGAATTGGGCAGCAATGAAATGAGGGAAAGAAAAGACTTAAGGAATCACCTACCCCTTTGCGACAGAGCCAGTGAAAGGCAGTCTCCAGCATTCTGCTCGGCCTGGAGGCATCTGGAATGGGTTCCTGCATTACATGAAGGAGCAAATGGAGATGCTGAAGGCATAAAACCTGATTTTTCCAAGGAAGAAACTCACCCTCTGAAGGGAGATCAGGGACAGGATGTTTGCCATGACTCACCTTTTGATAATGATTCAAAAGCAGCGTTTGGGGAGTTGTTATGGACTGTGTTATTGGCCACATAAATCAACAAGGGTTCCTAGAAGAGCTGAGGGCCTGACCTATTGCAGCAGGCATTACACTGCCTGAACAGGGGCACAGGAGTTAAGGGACATTACTTCTAGCTCCTGCTTAGCTTTGAAGTGAACTGTGGCAGGAAAGAAGGAAAAAAAAAAAAGTGAGAAAAGGAAAAAAGATTGATTTTACTTTTGGCAAATATTTGGCCACCAGGATATACTCAACTGTCATTTGTCTTGCCATGAGAATTGGCCTTTGCAGAATGAAACAAACAAGCACTGCTACACTGTGTGGCATTTTGCAGTGACACATAAGCCTCACTGAGGATAAAAGACATTTATAGAGCAATTCATATGACTTTAAAATTATCCACCTTTGCTTTCTCATTGTTTAATCTACTAGTTTGCATTTGTTGTTTGAAATGTACACAAGAGGTTGTGTTGCTGATAGCTATGTGGAAAGCCTGCTGTGTGTTAAGACTCATTATTTGTGTGCATTCTAGCATCCCCTCTGGAGGACAGGTTTTCACATGGACAATTAAAAGCAGACAGTCTTCCTCCCCTATTCCTTAGGAGGTGCAGAGAATGGCTGCACCCACACAGATTCCCCAAAAGATGCAAACAATTCCCCGGAAGAACCTTGTACACGACAGTGCAGTCTTCCACTGCATGGGGTAGGCTGGAAATAGAAAATATAAACTGCTCTGATTATGCTCACCTTGCTCCTGTTCTCTTGAGGGCTCACTGCCAGTTGCCAAAGGTTGGCATAATGCTGCAGCATCAAATAAAGCTGCTATGTGGACAGACAAAATTCAGGGACATGTAGGCAGCCCACTCACACTGAACCCCTTGACAGCTCATCCTTCACATTTCCTGCCACCCACTCACACACAACACTCCCTGCCTTGCCAGCACAAACATGGTGAGACAGGGAATTGGGCTTTAGTTGCCAGAAGTCTTATCCTGTGGTAGTTTCTGGGAGATAACAGCTTCATAGCCAACACCTGTGAAGCACAGCGAGGATTTGGTCAGCACAAAGAGATAAAAATTCCTGTATTCTGTTGGAATAATTCAATTATCAGTGATTTTTTCAGCTAAAGTTCATTATTCTTTAGGAAGAGTGAATATAGAAAATTAATGTCTGTATTCTCATCTTCACCCTCCCATGTCTTGCCTTGCTCCAGTAGCACAAAACAAATAAATGGATAATTTGATTTCCTAGCTGACAACATGCAAAAGAAAACTCCAGGAATAGAGAGTTATTTATGCCTGAATGTAGGGCTTGCATTCATATTTATGCAGTTGGATAAGCATTCTGACTATCAGGGTTATTATCACATCAAGATTTTTAAAGGAAACTGATCCAAATAGCTTCTACAGGGATGTCAATCCCAGCTCTCCTCTCTTCTCCTGGGGTCCAGGAAGCCTTCAGCAAGAAGATGAAGTACACCTCTGTGTAAGCTAAATCCTGAGAAATTTAGTTTGACACCAAAGCAGTATGTTTTACTGACAGCCACAGATTCACAAAGAAAAATTACTATTTTCACATGAGTTGTAGGCTTATCTCCAGCTTCTGAAGTGCATTAAAACTCTGTGCAAACATGGGAACATGCTGACAATCCGAGCCTCATGACCATACCCCTCTATTCTATTGTTATATCCCTCACACTTGTTCTTCGAGGTTCCAAAGAGGAGACCTTGAGTCCTGGAGTGAGAACAAGCTCAGGTTTACAGTCAGGAGTTTGTGAAAGCTGCACATTGTCCCTGCTGCCAGGTCGGTTTCTTGTGAGAGTCTGCGGTGACCTCCACCCTCTGTGGGGAGTGAAAACATGACCCACCAATGCCACACTGAAGATGGAAACAAGGGTTTTTGGCTTCCACTGGCCCCTTTCAGGAAAGACACAACAGTTGTTTTAGTTAATAAGGACAGATTTTTTAATATAGATATTTTTTGGTATATATATGCACAGCAAAGTGTATTTTCACATACTTTTGGTAAATATCTAAATAGCTCTAACACTTAAAGAGCAATTTAGGTTTTTCCTTAGGGCATGAGGGCCTTCTATCTCAGGGCACAGATGTGATTGCTGCAAGGACAGGGAGGAAGGGAATGCCCTTCAGGGAATGTCTTGGTCTTCCTTGGAAGCATCAGACAGCGCCAGTGCCAGAGATGAGACACCTGACTAAGTGGGCCAGGGGCTTGATGAGAAGCAACAAAGCTGGGATCAGAAATGTACCTGAAGATTTCTCCTAGGCAATCAGTGAAAGGATGAGAGGACAGGGCCTCAAGCTGTACCAGGGGAGGTTCAGGTTGGACATCAGGAAGAATTTCCTCATGTAAAGGGTGGTCAGTCATTGGAAGGGAGGTGTTAGAGTCACCATCCCTGCAGATGTCCAAGGAATGACTGGAGGTGGCACTCAGTGCTCTGGGCTGGGTGACAAGGTGAGGATTGGTCACAGGCTGGACTCGATGACCTGCAAGGTCTTTTCCAGCCTCAGTGATTCTGTGCTTATGTGAGAACTTTTTTTTCAGGCAATGTTAGATGGATTCCACCCTATGGAAACACCAGTGCCAACAAGGGGCTCAAAAACTAAACAAGACTTTGGACACAAAATTTAGAGGTGGAATGCACAGGCTTTAAAGTTGGACATAACTGAGCAAAAATGCGAGTGAACAGACTTCTGTGTGCTGGGCTGGATATGTTAATTGTGTAGACAATGAAATAAAAGGCAGCTGGTACCTGAGCAATGCCATTAGGAAGGAGGGACATGTTGACCTGGGTAAGGCTGTCCAGGGAGGGGCAGGGAGGCAGAGACCACTAGTAGCAACTCATGGCCCTCCTGTGCCAGGCTTCAAGCAGCACTGCTTCCTTTCCTGTGGATGCTGGAGATCGAAGGATTAAAGTGTGTGATATTTTCACAGCGTGAGCTTCAAGACAGCAGGCTCTGGAATCTCCAAGTGTCCAAACAGTTTTCCATGGGCTCTCATCCATTCCCTGCTAAGTAAGAGCAGCAGGAGGAAGAAACTGCCTCCGTACGTGAAACCAGAATAGCAGAGCGCCTGCTGGGGCAGGAACTGTACTTGTGAGGGACATAAATGAGGTGACAACAGGAGGACCTTGCAGCAGGTCCTCCTGTAGCACAAGCTCTGCTAACACAGCTAACACAGATCTCCACCAATGACCTTCACCAACCAAAACCTGGCTACTACAGAAGGATGCAATGTGGGTTGTGCACAAGGGGTACAGAATGCTGGAAAACTGGCGCTTATCTCAGGGAGAGCCAATAAAAAAAATGAACGCAACAATTTCAGAGTATCCAGAAGGCCTAGGAGACTTGCAGATGTCCATCTATAAACAGCGTCCAAACCTGTGCAGACCAGCCAGTCACAGCTTTTCCCAGCCAAGGTCCAGTAATGTATTTTACCCAAATGTGTAAGGTTGGTTACCAGGAGGAGACATAGCAGAGTCAGGTGTGCCAAGCACTGTGTCCTTCAGCACCTCCCTGGAGTTCTTCTTCATAGCTGCTGGAATTAGAAAACAAGGGCCAGACAGGATGAGATGCCTCACCCAGCTCTGAATCAGGAGCAGTCATTAACAAAATACTTTTTCAGGGCTGATTCAGCTCCCATCACATGGACCTAGATTAATCTTTGCCTGATCCTTTATCCTGTCAAAAATGTGCCCTAAGATATGCTCACCCTGAGCAGGAGGCTGGCGTCCTGAATTTCAGTCCTCATGAATTTCTCCATGACACTGTCTAACAACCTGTTTTGAAACCTGGTAATGACATTGCAAAGTTACTTCCTCCAGTAAAAAGAGTGCCTGATTTCTGCTGTGTTTTTCCCTCTGAAGAAAACATGTTTTCTCCTAGGTTCAGGGCAATGAAAAGCTTTTATATCTAGAAGTCAGATTTTTTTAATATACTGTAAACACATTGCCTCCACAGGGAATTAATGCCATTTTGGTGAGATTACTGAAGGAAATAATACTTATCCAGTGGAAGTCAGCATGGTTTTGACCATTAGTTTCAAAATGACTAAATGAAAAAAATCAAGTGATGGATCATATCAACAAGATACAAGATACATATCAAAAAAAATGCTACAAGATTTTAATTGCCAGAAGTAATTTTTGGTTCCAGTCAACTTTCTTCCTCTCTTCTTTCTTTGCAAAACTTTTTCTGAGTGTGAACTGGTATATTTATAATGAAAAGTATCATTAGTCCTTTTCTAGGACACTCTTTAATTAAACTAAATGTAGCCATACAGTTCTCTGATAGATAAGCTAATAGAGCACTGCAGCAACTGTTAACAAGATCTGTTAACTCCTTGGGAGAATCAGCATGTCCTTTAAACTCTTCAAGGACAGTAATATACATGTGGTCCCAATTGAAAGTGAGGCAAGAGTGATATAAAAGTATATGTTGCAACACCTGCCCAAGCACTTAAAGGTCAATAAATTTCAGGTGTGGCTTTTGAAAGCATAATGCCGATGAACAAATTTGTTTTGTTACTGTTTGAATAGTGCTGAAATTATTTTTGTTGCCATCGGTAGATTCCTGAGTTAAATGTCTGATTCCTGAGTTGAGTTAAATGTCTGATTTAGATCACAGGAGATGCTAATTGTTTGCCTTTGGGAAAGGGTCAACATGACTGACCAGACATTTTTTCTCTTGGGAATACACCCAGATATGGTGGTGGAGCAGAGGGAGTGGGTGAATGCACAGCTCTCAGGCTGTTATTAAACCCTTGTCTGCTCAGCCAATGTTTCCTGTTGAACATTATAATTACACTGTATGGAATGATGCAGTATGTACACAAAATAGCCTGCACACAGCCTATTCATGCAGTCACAAGCACAGCATGAAAATGA